CAATTGCCAACACATTCATAAACACAACTTACCTGAGTATTCGTCATAGCCTGACTCCATGCTAATGTATAAGAGAGTCCTTCAGCAACAGAATGATCACGCGAATAATTCAACAGATGCCTAAAGAACATTCGGTTAGTGTTTTTTATTATATTCTACACGAGCCTCATAAAATTGATATCTACTTTGTTCCCGTCGTAGCAACAGGCGACTTTGATGCAATGAGAATTGCCGTTTTGTCTGCTTCAGCTGTTACGAGATACATGTATGTTTGGTTAAATATTTCATTCGCAAGAAAATAAAGAAACCATTCTTCGCCTACCCATGGCAGCCTCTTTGTTATCCAACACTCTGTTTATTAGTCCAATACTCGCGGCTTCGTCTGATCCGAATCTAATCGACACGTTCACAATAAGAATTCGTCGACCATGTCAAGTAAGACTATTACGGTAAACTTGCCTGCGACCAGTAAGACAGAGTTCTCTTACAGCGCTATCATTACCAGTTACTTTTGGAAGACGCTGCAATGTGCCTGAAACGTGAACTGTTGAATAAATACTGAACACATGCAATGCAATCGGTAAGTTATGGTCGGCTCACCAAGATCAGCTGCTATGCTTATATCAACTTCCTATGTTATATAATAAATGCAGATAGAGTTGAACGATTGCATCGAGTTGGACAAGTTTGGCTAATAAAAAGTAAATTATACCTTGACGCTGAAGGACGCATCTCGAGAACAATATCGAACATCACAGGCGGTTATTAGATCGATCCCTGCACCCAGGCATGCGCCATGGACCACGGCGATGACTGGCTTATCGCAAGTCTCAACTACATTTATGGATTCTTGCATAGACTAGTATACATAAAGACGTGTATAATCCAAGTAATTAGGTGCTATATACACAGTATTCTCGATCATCTTTCTGTCCAAACCGTTTCCCGTAACATCAACTTGAACCTGAAAACTTACCCTTATAATCGCTCGCAAGCGGTGTGCCGTTCGCGCACCATCATAGCCTTCCACCCTTGGAAAGTCGTTTACTAGTGAAACAAAACAACGTATAAATCGTTTCCTTTTTCCACGACAAGCCCCAAGATTTTACATACAATCAATTCCAGCCGTAAAGTGCTTTCCAGCAGCCGATAAGATCACAGCTCTGACGTTAGAATCATCTTTTATGACCGTAAAACATTCTTTCATGTCTCGCCATAAACTGAGAGAACATGTTAACATATGTTAAATAGAATGTTAAATTAAACGGTTTATAGTTAACATACGCTGTATTGAAAGCGTTCAATTTCGCAGCTCTATTTAATTGAACATTTATAACATATTCGGAAGGAAAGGATATTGAAAGAGTCTCGAATTTATATTTCCCCATTTCAAATAGATGAGAAATCGAACTTGAGACATAACAACCAATTATGTTAATTTATGTATCATTAATTTTTTTTTCTTTTTTTGATATTAGATCCCGTCCGAGCCGTTTATATATACTTTCGCTGTGTACATAGTAATATTAATATTAAAGTATTTATTTCTATATTAATATTAATATTTACGGTTTATTTCGTATACTCGTTCTATAGTTATATGTTCTCGGTAGAGAAGAGACTCTTAGAAGATGTTGTACGAGTAAGTGTCTTACAGTCTAATGGTAGTTTCACTCGATACCAATTGTTTATACCAACTACAGAGGCGAATGGTAAATCATTTTGGGTGAATATACCATCAGGAGACAGAGGTCATATTTGGCGTTGGCAATCAATGTTCAAATCTTTATTACACGAATTATACTTCTCTCTGCCGTCACATTACTGTTTAATATCGAATTGGGTATGACTTCTCGTTCACCATTGTTTCAATGACGTTCTTAGCGGTCTTTCACCACTGGTGACAGTAATGGGCGTTGCTGTCGGTGTTGTTGTTGTCGGTGTTGTTGTCGAGTAGCAGCAGACCGAACCAAACGTTAATAATGGAGACATAACGACGTGCGCATCTTATATTCTGACAAAAAAATCAACTCCGGTCGGTAGGTTTGCGGAAATATTTATTTATATAAGGTTAAGGGAGATTACCGATGCCCGTATCTATATTACAACACTCTCGTAAACCATAGACATCGCGATAATGATAGGACAGTATTTCGAATATTAGGATAAACGGAGGAAGGAAAATGCTTTCAAAATGACGTATGCTGACCGGATGTGACCGATGTAGTAGTAGTAGTAGTAGGTTGAGTTAAAATTCCGAAACAATCGGAATTTAAGTTTGCATATTTTCTTAGTGACTCTTAGTTGCAATCATTTGGTTGTTGTTCTGTATGATTTGTTCTTCATGGAAATAAACAGTTCTGTTCGTAATGGAAGACAGGCCTGGTGTAATGGTCATTTCTAATGTAGGGTTATTGTTTTGTAAATTTTTGAAAGTGGGTATGTTCGTTAACTCGGTTGCATGAACGCGAATTTTCGAGTTACCAATTATTTGCTCACACGTGAACTATAAACTTTTTAGTAACACTAACCGACCCTTTGTTTTATGACGTTAAAGATTTCAGCGTTGTTGGGAAAATGTCTAATGAAATATTAATCGCAAAACTTAATAATGTGGCTCTTATAACTCTCAACAGGCCCCAGAATGGGAATGCCCTCACAAGTAAGATGGCTGATGAACTGATTTGTGCCTTCCAAGAACTGGCTGCAGATACGTCAATACGTGTTATCATCATAACCGGCGCTGGTAAGTGCTTCTGTACGGGGCTTGACCTATCAACCGGTCAATCATCAACAGACCTCGACGACATGATTCTTAAAGGCATGCGCCTATTTGAAATTATAAAATCCAGCAAAAAGCCCGTAATTGCTCAAATCAACGGCCCAGCACTTGGAGGAGGTGTTGGACTTGTGTTTACGACGGATGTACGAATAATGACCAGGCAGTCATATTTTCGCCTTCCTGAAGTTAAGCGAGGATTGATTCCGGCTATCATTTCTCAGTACATTGTTCCAGAAATCGGAATATTTAAGGCCAATCAATATATGCTTACTGGCGAAAAGATATCGTCAGAGGAAGCCTTAAGAGGCAATTTCATTACCTGTGTTGTTGATGATCATCGGCAATTAGAAGACAAAGTCAAAACGTATGCGAACGAACTAATTTCGAGTGCGCCGAATGCGATGGCAACCATAAAAACGTTAGTGTCCGTTGTAGGGTCTGGCGCTTCTAAATTAGAGAAAGTCCATCATGTAAAGAACGTATTTGTAAAAATGATGCGATCTGAGGAAGCCGCTTATGGTATACAGGCCTTTGGTAGAAAAGAGAAACCAGACTGGTCAAAATTCAATTCAAATCTGTGAATTTATCAATAAAGCTAATAATATCGAACAATTTCACGTGTCTGATTGTGTCGCCTGATTTGTCAAAATGACCATGCAAAT